ACAGAAAAAGATATCAGATTCCCTGGTACTGGACTCATATTTGGTTGTGAGCCACTATGTGGGTGCTAGGAATTGAACCTGGATCCTCTAGAAGAGCAGCCTGTGTGCTTAACTGCTAAGCCATCTCTCCAGCTAGTGGTATATATATATATTTAAAGCATATTCTCCTAGGGTGACCTCCAGCTCGCAACCCAGCCTCAGCTTTGGGTGTGCTGGGGTTACAGGCCCACATCACTGACCAGATCCTTTTCTCTTGGTGATTCTGGGTCTCAAGATCTTCCGGTAGGCCCTCTGTTAAGTCAGGGTGGAAGGCCCTGGGAATGCTTGCAGACCACACACAGTGTGGTAGGGGCAGACACTGCTTGACACTGCCAGAATGGTGGCTTCTCCCACTGTGCCACTTCATGCTCAGTGTTCAGGAAGTAGTGACTGGGGGGTTGGGAAGACAGTATCTTGGCTCCAGGCCTGGAGACCCACTTGCTTTCTAGACATTTGTTCTTTGTTGTTGTGTTGTTGAGACAGGGTCTCATTCTGTGGTCCAGGATGGCCTTGAACATTCATGGTGATCCAGTTTCCACAGCCTTCTGAGTGCTGGGATTACAGGCATGAGCACCTTACCTAGCTTTTGCCCAACTGCCTCCAGCATGGCACTCCTTGGGCTCCTTCTATTTAGACTGGCTCCATGACCAGAGCTGCATTCTCCTCCTTGCTCACAGCTACCAGGGGATTGCCCCACAGGAGGAACTGCTCCAACAGCTTCAGCCATTTGTCCCTCCCACGGTAGCCATAGGGTGTGGTTATCCAGTGTGACCTTGGGTCTTACTCAACTGGTCAAGAGAGCAGAGTAGGTTCTGGGCTTATCCTCTCTGGGCTGTTCCTGCTCTTGCCTGACCTAACCACCTTCTTGCTATAACCAGTGCTCTTTTTCTGTAGGAATCTTGCTTTCTAGAGCAGGGCAGAGGTTATTTCCTCCTCAAATACATTCTTATGCAAGGAAGAGGCTGATAGGGATCAGAGAATCATTCCACCCCCCACGTGCCCAGCCCCCTTATCAGGCCCAGGAATCTCAAAGCAGGGAGCAAACAACCTGGAGGGGGTGGTGGTGGCTTGGAAATGGGGAACAGTCACGGACTCTTCTTTCCCTTCCTCCCCACCCCTTAAACCGCAGAAACCACTTAAAGCTCAGCACAGGTCTGTCCTTCCAGGGAGGACCAAAGTAGCAGGTAAAAAGGAAACCTCTGGGGTTTGGGCAGCATTCACAGCTGGTCTTGGCGCATACTGGGCTGTCTCCTATTAGGGCCTAACACAGTGCATCAGGGACTACCTTTCTTTAATCGATAGGGGTTTCACACCTGAGGAGACTTCAACCCACCAGAATGACTTGGGGAATGGTGGATGTCTTGGCCATTAAAAACAAACAAACAATACAAGGTCTTGGAACATCTGTGGATTCTGCATCACAGCTTCCAGTGCCTTGCCATCACAGAGGCCCAGTGGGAGAGGAATAGGAAGGGTTGGCCCTAGCCCTGCCTGGAACTCTCTATGGTGACCTTGTTTATAGCTCTCATTTCCCAGTTAACACTGAGGGGGGATTGAAAGTGGAGGGGGTTGAAAATCAGGACCTGGGCTGGAGATGGAGCCCTAGATTCAAGCCCCAGCACCTCATAACCTGGTGGTGCTTACCTGCATGCCTAATACTTGGGAGATGGAGGCAGGGAGAACAGGTCATTGTCATCCCCAGCTGCCTAGGGCATTTGAGGTTAGCCTGGGCTACATCAGAGCATGATTAAAAAAAACAGTTACAAAGAACAAAATTGGGAGCTCTGATTTTGGGGACAAGGAAAACTTTAACAGTGTGTTGTCTTCTAGGTAACAGCCATGAGCCCTGAATCCTGCCACAACCTTCAGCCAAATGGGGGAGCACCATGGCTGCTGACCTGTGCTGATGGCAGTACTGTGGGGCCCCAGCTCCTTTCACATAGGATAGGTTCTTAGATTCATTTGCTCCCAAGGCATTTATCTGTGGCTGGGACTGTGTGTCCCTGTCATGAGCCCTGAGGGCTGGGAATGTGACAACTTCTTGGGGAGGAGGCTTTCCACCTCATAGACTCCCCAAATTCTTGGGCTGGGTTGTGGCAGGGGATATTTGTGTAGTTGCTGTCAGGAACAGTCCTTACAGCTAAAGCCAATTCTCAGGCAAGTTTCTTTAACCTCTCTGGTCTCTCTGTGCCTCTGTGAACTGGGAATAAAACTGCCTGCCTTACCCAGTGGTGGCGAGATAAGACCAGTGGGTAAAGTACAAAGCTTGGTACAAAGTACTGTAGCTAAAAAAAGTATTCCAGTCCCTCCCTCTCTTTTCCACCCCTGTAATATTGCCTCTCTCTTTTCCCTACTTTACTTTAGTTGGTGTCTCATCACCAACTAATTCTTTACTCTTACCTCTTTGTCTTATACCTCGCTTGACTCCTGCTTTTGTCTTCAACACTGTCTCCATTGCCTGGCACCGCATAGACCCTTTGTAGCGTTGGTGGAGGAATGGTTGAATGAAGGTGATCTGACCTATAGGCGTCTTTCCAGATACTTTCAAATCTCCTTGCTCACTAAGGGTGGTTGTGAGAGAACTTGAGGAATATGGTACAGCACAGTGGGGCTGAGTTCACAGGTGCAAAGTGCCAGAATGTGAGATGACTGAGGAATTATCATCCTGGGGAAGAAGAAACCCTTCAAGCTTTTAATACAGAATTTAAAAATTACACTTACTTACACGTGTGTGAGTGGACTCTCCTTCCACCTTGTGGGGCTCTAGGCTTAAACTCAGATTGTCAGGCTTGGCCACAGGTACCTTGCATCTTGTCACCTAGTTCTGTTCTTTATTATCTGTTTAAGGCCCAAGGTCACGCTGAATAACAACTGTACTCTCACCTTATGGTGGTTGCCAGGAGGTGAATGTTTGCATTTCCTGCTATGGGGTTCATCAGGTTGCAATCAGCAGGGACAATTGTTTGGTCAATGCCGCCACCTGGTGGACACCTGGAGCAAGGTTTTTTAGGTGGCGGGAATGTAATCAGTGGAGGAAGAAGGAACTGAAACTCGAGCGTGTGTGTGTGCGCGCGCGCGCGCGCGTGTGCGTGTGTGCACCTACTGAGATTTTTGTTGGGAACAAGCAGGTTAAGCTCTTGTGTGGAGCACAACTGTACCAGGGGAAGTGAGAAAGGCCCACGTGGGAGGAGGAAGAAGCTGGATTGGTCTAGGGCCTGGCATCTATCTGCCGTCCCCCATTCTGGTTTGAGCCAGGAGGAACCAGTTCCCAGGAAGGTAGAGGTAGAGAGAAGGTCACTGCTGACGTCAAGGACTTTCAGGTAGGAGGTAAACACAAGATGACCCACTTTTATCTCAGTGTCTTTTCCCTCATCTTCTGGCATCCCTATAACAGCTCTCATCGTCTGATAGCATCCTTTTTCCCAGCACCTCCAATCCCAAGTAAATCTGGGTACCCAAGCACTACTCTGTGGCTCTCCCTTCCCCCACTGGGTTTTTTTTGGCTGTCCTGGAACTTGCTCTGTAGACTTGAACTCAGGGATCTGCCTGTCTTTGCCTCCTGAGTGTTGGGATTAAAGGTGTTTGCCACCAAGCCTGGCTTTACTGTGTGGTTCTTGACTGCAGCCATTTTTCCTGCTCCTGTGGCCCAGGCACTGGGTGTGGTTGGGACTGGCCAGAGGGAGGCGGGGAGGTTTAAAGGGCACTGGGTATTAGTCTGTGCTCACCTGGCTAACTCTTAAAGTTCAAACATCTCATTAGTCTTTAGGACATATACTTGTCTAAGAGGTAGGAAGGACCAGTTTCCTCTGTGCAGACCAAAGGGACCCTCAGGACAGGGTGGCTTTGTGCTCTGGTTCTCTTGATGGGGGGCTCACTGACGCAAGGGCTCTCTGAAGGTTCAGGATTTTGTTGGATTCAGAGGACCCGTGATTGTTAGTTGTAATTGTCAACTCGACACAGTCTAGAATATCCTGGGAAGAGAGAAGTCTAAACCATGCTGGCCTGTCAGTGGGGGGGTTCTGTTGGTTACAGTTAATTAATGTGGAAGACTTACCCATTGTGCGTGAAACCCCCCTGGGTTTGGGTCCTGGACTGCAAAAGTGGAGAAAGTGAGCTAAGCATTAGAAGCATGAATGCATTGCATTCATTTCTATTATTATTATTAAAGGATAGAGTTTCACTATGTACCCTTGGCTGGCCTGATCTACTTGCTTTGTAGTTCAGGCTGGCTTCAAACCTATAGAGACCTACGTGTCCCTGCCTCCCAAGCACTGAGATTAAAGGCACGAGCCACCATGCTCTGATTATTAATTATTATTATTTTCAGACAGAATTGCTTTGTATAGCCTTGGCTATCCTAGAACTTGCTCTGTAGACCAGGCTGGCCTTGAACTCACAGAGATCTGCCTGCCTCTGCTTCTGGAGTGCTGGAATTAAAGGTGTGAGCCAGCACCACCTGGCGTTATTTTTTAAATTTGTACCTATGTGTTTTTATTTATGTATGTGTATGAACATCTGGCCTCCAGAAGCCAGAAGAGGGCATTGGATTCCCTGTAACTGGAGTCTCACGGGCAATTGTGAGCTTCCTGATGTGGGTGCTGGGAACTGAACCATCTCTCTAGCTCACTCTTTCTGCGCCTGACTGTGGCTGTGACTAGCTGCTTCAAGTCCTGACTTCTCCACAATGATGGATTATCACCTGGAACTGTAAGCCAAATAAACCCTTTCTATAAAAGTAGCTTTGTGTGTGTGTGTGTGGTGGTGGGGGGGGGGCGGGTTAGACAGGATCCTAGGGCCTACTCAGTCTAGGCTTCTTGAAGCAGTGTCTCTTGGGTATGGACCCTAGTCTCTGTTTGTTTAACAAGTGCTTCCAGGGTTCTGAATCTCTTGACCCTCCTGCTCAGGCGAGTGTGGACTGCGCAGAAGAGAGTTGCTGCAAAGCCTAGAGTTTTTGGTGCCCGCTGGGGAGCGCGCAGCTAAAGGCAAACTGATGTTTTTATTAACAAAAATCAATACACGCTGGGCAGGTGGCAAGAATGAGGGCTGCAGACCCAGTGGAAACCTCCGGAGGAAGCCGTGGTGCCAGCCTACAAGCTGAGATGCGCAGGTGCCAGGGAAGACCCTGGGCCTAGACCTCCAGCCAGCGGCGGCAGCAGGGCGACGAGTGGCGTCTCGCACTCTCCCAGCAGCACATCCCGGCGCAGCCCCGCACCCCTGTCCAGCACCTTGGCCCTCAGACTACGGACGGCCAGGTCCGGCGGGCCCAGCCCTTCGAAGAAGAAGTCTTCATTGAAGATGGGGTTGGAGCTGCCCTGGACTACCCGGCTCCGCTGAGCTCGCGGCTGAACGCGCGGCCGCAGCCACAACACCACGCAGCAGCCGCCGCCGCCGCTCCCGGGGCGAGCCCGCGGCCGAGGCAGGCCCTCGGCGCTCACCAGGCGCAGGCGCAGCCGCCCGGGCCCCGCCTGGTACTCGGTGGAAAGGCGCAGCTGTCCGCCGCGGGGCCCCAGGCTCAGCACGCTGTCCTTGGTCGGCCGCAGCTGGCAGCAGAGGAAGTCCAGGTGGAAGAGCGGCGGAGCGCGGCGCGGCGCGTACGGGCTGGTGTCCGCCGAGCTGGCCTCGTCGGGGGACAGAAAGCAGGGCCTGCGCGTGCGCGGGGAGCCGCAAGGCGAGGAGTCGGGCGACGAGGCCGTGTCGCTGTCCGGGGCGCGGCAGAGGCGGAGGTCCGGGGCTGAGACGTGCAGCCGCGGTTGCGCGGGGGGCAGGCCTGCGGCCGCGCCGCGCGGCGCGTGGAACAGGGACTCGCGGCGGCGCGTGTGCGGGCTCTCGGGCAGGAAGGCCCAGCCCTCGCGGCCCGCCAGGTGCGGGAGCGAGCAGGCGACCGGGAGGTTCCGGCCACGCAGGTTGCGGTCCACCCTGGCCTCGGCGCCGCCGGGGTCCCGGAGCCGAGGCGGGATGAAGAACTGCGGGATGCGGTCGGGGGTGAGGATGTTAGGGTTGCAGCGCGAGGGTGAGCCCGGGGTGCGGCGCTTGGGGAGCAGGCCGGAGTGCGCCTGGCGCGCTCCAACCTCTGCAGTCCTCACCCTGTAGCCGGCTTTCTCCAAGAGCCACATGCAGTGGGTGGGGGTAATGAAGCGCAGAGGCGGAGAAGGTCCAAGTCCAGCCTTCCGATTGGGAGCCCTGGACCCAGACGCGCTGAGAGAAGAGAAGAGGATGCGAAGGTCGGTGATGCCGAGAGCGAACACCTAGCTGCCTCCGTGGCCTTGTCCCCACGCTCCTGGGGCATAAGGCTGGTATTTATAAGCAGCTCAAAGGAAGGGTGAAGGCTGGAAACTGGAGAAATGGAGGACAGAACCAGACAGTAAGATTTTCAGATGGAGGGTCTGGAGATGGCTCAGCCGTTAGGAGCACTTGCAGAAGCTTTGGTACCCAGCACCCACATGGTGATTCACAGTTCTCTATAGCTCCAGTTCCAAGGGATCCAACACCCTCCGCTGACCTCTGCAGTTACCAGGCACACACGTGGTGTACACACATACATACGTACATACAGGGAAAACACATATACATAACATAAATACGTCTTAAAAATTTAAAACTATTTTCAGAAGGAGGCCTTGTACAGCCAAGTATATAGACCTTCCTATTGCTAAGGATGTCCTACCCACTTCAGATCTGTAGTCAAAATCATGAACCCAGATACTAATTTCGTCTCATATATATTCTAGCTCTGCAAGTCACCGTGGCCTACGGAGGCCAGCTCCCTCGTCCTGCACCCAGAATCTGGTCTGGGGCCCTGGAAGCGCCTTCCCTGCCCAAGCGCCTTCTGGGCCAGCTTCTCTGAATTGACCTATCCTTGGGCACTAGCCCCACCTAACTCTTGTCTCCTCCCCCAAATCACCGTTTGCCTTCTCAGGTTGCTTCTGAGACTCACTTCTGGTAGCCAGGAACACGCCTAATTGCTGACCCGTGGACACGCAGGGCCAGGGCTAGTCCAAGGAGATTCCTCTCTTTTGGTGAGGCACAGAACCCTTCTCCCCGCTTCTTTACCCCCAGCTTTTCAACCCGGCCGCTTCAGGAGGCTGTAAGGCGAGCCAGGTAGTTGAGTGGTCCCTCCCACTGTCCACTCTTTTTTCCTTAGGAAACTTCAGAGCACAAAGGCACCATTGATTCTCCGCCACCCCCAGTGTGGGCACAGGAAGGCTTCTTTGCAGAGAGCTCAATGCACCCCTGCATGGAGTCACCATGAGCAACGAAAGTACCAATAGTCTGCCAGGGACTCCGAGCCCGTGTCTGGCTCAGTCATGTGCCCAGAGTGTAAACCTTACCTGTGGGTAGCTGCTGGATACCAGCCTCTGGCTTCAGGCCCCAAAGCGTGGAGAGCCCTAAGGGACCAGCTTCTTCTCTAGCTTTCTCCCCCAGCCCAGGCTTTCTGGGAGGAGTTGGCAGGGGCCAGGCTGCCTACGCCTGACTTTTCCTGGATAAACACAGGTCTGTCTCCCTGGCCTTCAATGGTGCTGTCTTAACTCCTTCCTCCAGTCAGAGCCAATTTTCCAGTAGCAGCCTGCAAGACCTGAACACAGGGTGCTAAGGTTGGAAGGGCTGCAGAGAACAGGGACACTGCCATCAGTGGCCAGAGGCTAGCTGTTGTTCCAGCCTCCCCTCGCCCCAACCCTTAGCCTACCCACACATAGCCTATCTTCTGCAAAACCCTCCGTGTTGGGATCCTGTCTTGGCCCCTAATTCTGGGCTCTGGAGCCATCCCAGGAACTCCTCAGCACTGTGGCTTTCAATGACTAGTTTTCTGAATTATACCCACCCTGCCCCGTCTCGTGCTCTCCCCCTCCAAAAAGAGTAGCTAGGCTCAGAATTTCTGGATGTTAAGACACTGAGGGCAGAGGATTCCAACAGTGAGGACCAGCCGACTTATGTCCTCTATCTTTGGCAGACTCAAGGAAGCACAGTTGGCCACTGGGAAGGTGAGATTATCAGTTTTATAGGCACACCTACCACCCTAATTCTCTCAAAGGCAGAAGCTCACTCCTTCCTTTGCATGAGCTATTTTCCTTTTACTCTTTTCCTCACTGGCAACTTTTCTTCTTAATCAGAAGTGCTTCCTGTCCTATCTCACAGTATCCTACCTTTTTCCTTTAGATCTTGGTTAGTCTTTTTTATTTAGGTCAGAGTGAGTAGCCTGGAATTCCCTATTTAGCCCAGGCTAGCCCAGATTAACCTGCCTGGTCCAGCTCCCCAAGTGTGGGGACTACAGGTATAAACCATTATGTGATTATTCTTTAATGCCTTCCCCTTCTCAGGGGACAGTGCTTAGTACAAGCCAGGTGTTCAGCTAGGATTTATAAATGTATGTTATCTATTTGGATGGATATTTAGTCTGCATGTAATCTGTGCATGATGTGTATGTCTGGTGTCCTCAGAAGGCAGAAGAGGGCACCAGATGTCCTGGAGCTGTGAGTCACCACAGCTGGAAACGGAACTTGGGCTCTCTGGAAGAGCAGCAAGTGCTCTTAAATGATGAATCATCTCTCTAGCTCCTCAATCGGGATTTTAAGGTGTAAATGAACACTGTTAAGCAGAAGTAAACTTAAAATGGATTGTCCATCTGTTCTTTGAAAATATATGGCAGGTTCTGAGTTCAATTTCCAGCAACCAAATGGTGGCTCACAACCATCTATACTGGAATCTGATGCTCTCTTCTGCCATCTAGGTGTACATGCAGATAGAGCACTCGTACATAAAGTAAATAAATACAATCTAAAAAAAAAATCTAAATTATACCAGTTGCAGTACTGAGTACACAGAATGGGGAGCTAACAGAGAGACAGAGAGAGAGAGAGAGAGAAACATGTCTGCCACAAGCACAACCCCAAGACAAACAGTGGAATGCAGGATCATGAAACCAGGAAAGCAGTGATTATTTTGTCATCTGATGATATTTGAGGATCATGATTCTTTTGTTGCCCTTGTAACCTCTGACCTTTCATGCCTGAGGCCCATGACTGTACAGTCCTGATGGTTTTTAGGGGTGGGTTGGGTGCCGCAGGCCACAGTTTGGGCAACAGTCATATGGGTTGGAGGTCCTGGCTTTGAAAGGTACCAGTTTTGTCACATGCAATGTACTTTCCTCATGGTAAATAGAGGGGATGTACCTAATTCTCAGAGCTTTATTTATTTAGTTATGTATTTTTTTTTTATTAAACAAGCTATTGAATGGGCATTAGTTAGGCTGACTCCTACCATGAGAAAACAGAAAACCCAATTTAATATGGAGTGATAAGGACAGTTAATAAGATTTAGTTTTATATGTGTACATGTTTTGTCTTCATGTATGCACAATGTGGCTGCAGTGCCAGAGGAAGCTAGAAGAGGGCATTGGGTCATCGGGAACTGGAGTTACAGGTAGTTGTTAACCACCATGTGTGTGTTAGGAACCAAGCCAAGCTCTTCTGCCTTTAATCCAGGAGACAGAGGCACGCAGATTTGTTTTCACGGGCAGCCTGGTATAGAGCAAATTTCAGGTAAAGAAAAGCTTAGGTCCAGGTGTGGTATAGGTCTTTAATCCCAAACAATGAAGGTAAAGTTAGTTTGTAGAAGGAAGCACCCATGTTTGAAAGTGGGTGGCAGAAATAGTGATCTTTATCACAGAAAGATTTGACACAATAGGATATGCCCAACTCTCACGAGAAGTGAGGAAAGGAAAGCTACTTAAGAAAGAAAGATGGATGAGGGTCTGGAGAGATGTCTCAGTGGTTAAGAATATGTACTGCCCTTTCAGAGTTTGATTCCTAGCACCAATATTAGGCGACTCACAACAGGCTATAACTCAGTTCCGGGAGATCTGCTGCCTCTAGCCTCTGTGGTCACCCACACTCAGAGTAGCAATTCTAGGCTCTGGTCTGTCTGGTTGATTATTATCTTAGATTTAGTCTTTCAGGATTCCTATGGCAACAGAAAAATCATTATTTTGGGAGTACAGTTTTGGTTTCTACTACAGAGTCCAAGCCTGCAGGAGCCCCCCCCCCAATTAAAATAAACCAAATCTTTTTTTTTTTTTTAAAGATGGAAGAAAGCAAAGGCAATTTGTATTGAAGAGAGTTGGCTGAATGGGTAAGGAGAAATGGAGCCATGGCCAGAAGGGAAAGGAGAATGAAGAGAGAATTCGTTGTTTTGAGACAGGCTGCCCTTGAATTATTTTGAAATCTCCATGTAGTGGAAGATGACCTTGAGCTTATTTATTTTGTGTGTGAGTGCTATATCTGCATGTACACCTGCAGGCCAGAAGAGGGCACCAGATCACATTATAGCTGGTTGTGAGCCACCGTGTGGTTGCTGGGACTTGAACTCAGGACCTCTGGAAACGCAGACAGTGCTGTTAACCACTGAGCCCATATATATATATATGGTTTTAACACAGATAAACCATATATATATGGTTTTAACACAGATTTAAGTATGGATATCAAGGGAGGGAGAGAGTGCTTAAGAGAAGGGCAGTACACACCATAAAATATGGATGCAGGCTTCACAAGAAAGAGTTGCCCCATCTCTCCTTCTTATACCTCCTCTTTTTCTTCTTTTGGCTTTTTGAGATGGCATTTCTCTGTATAGTCCTGACTGTTTTGGAAGTGGTTCTGTAGACTAGCCTCAGACTCAGAGATCTGAGTGCCTCTGCCTCCCGAGTGCTGGATTTAAAGTAGTGTGCCACTATGTGGGCTTCTTTCTCTTCTTTAATATAAGCGAGATCATATTTTCCAAACATTGCCTTTCAGTTTGGGAGTATTTGAATACCTTTGAGGCCAGACCCCCAATCCCACCTCTGTGGCTCCTCTCTGCCTATATCTTGCTACTGGAAGCCAGCACCAGTATAACTTTGGTAGTCATGTGTTGAATATGGAAGAATGACTGACTCCTGGCCACCACTGTCTAGAGTGAAAAACACCTTCTGTAGACTATATGGGTGAAACGACAGAGACTTAAAGCATTTGACCTTACTATGTCTCATAAGAAAATTCTTTGTGATTTGGCCTTTTGAAACTTTCTTTTTTTTAAAACATTAAGGTATTTTTTTTTTAAATTTTACTTATTTATTTTTATTTTATGTGCATTAGCATGAAGGTGTCAAATCCCTTGGAACTGGAGTTATAGACAGCTGTGAGCTGCCATATGGGTGCTGGGGACTGAACCAGGGTCTTTAGGAAGAACAGACAGTCTTCTTAGCCACTGAGCCATCTCTCCAGCCCCTTGAAACTTTCTTAATCTTGACTTTTTCCCCAAACATTATTTCTCCCCACTGGCCATAATGCAATAACGACTGCCTTCTTCTCTTGCAGCCTGCCCTGGGGAAACCCCCTTTCCTCTCCAGGTTCTGCGGAGACTCAGACATCTCCCAGGTGCCCATTGCCTCCTCTATGCCTCCATTCTACTCCACAGTGAGCATTATCTCTTTAGATACATTCACCAGCACATTGCCTTCTTTCCTCCTGTACCACAGCTCCCACACAGCTTATCTGCCAGCACACCTGGACTGTGCTGGCTGGCTCCCCCATCTTCCTCCCACTTAGGTTCATGCCACTTCAGGTACCGTTTTCCACTAGAGTAGAGTGCTCAGCATGACATGGTCATACATGTACTTGGTCAACTTGGTTCCCAAGGTGTTGGTATAATGTTCTTGTGGAATGTATACAATTTACCCTTGTTCATTCAGTGCTGATTTCCGTACTATCTGGTTTCAATCCAGACATTGCATTGTGGTGTTTATTCTAAGCATCACCTGTCTCAAGTTTGTATAAACATGCGGCCATTTGTTCTCTGTATTGTCAATGAAACAACCAGCCACAGTGCTAACCAATGGAGAGACTAGTGTGGGACATCCTGGTCTGGATGGGAGAAGGAAGTGAGTGGGAGGAGGAGGAGAACAGAGATAGAGGAGAGGACTTGGAACCATGAGGAGAGATGAACCAGACCTGACCTAAGATATGACTAAAAGCAAGTATGTGGGAAAATCTGAATGGGAGGAAACTATGCAGGTTTGGAGGTTTAGGATGGGGTAATTATTTCCCAGAATTGTGCTCTAAGTTAATTAAATCAAATTCTAGTCTCTGTGTGGTGAAAGGGGTATAGAGCTGGTTTAGGAATAACCACTGCTTAACTAAAAGATAAATAATTAATATTAATTACCAACAACACTAAGGTCAGAGGCTTTCCAAATCTACCAGGCTTCTCTTTCATCTGTGCTGCTTTGAGACTCTGTGCCCCCAGAGACTCGTGCTTGGCCCACAGGGAGTGGCACTATTAAAGAGGCATAGCCTTGTTGGAGTAGGTGTGGCCTTGTTGAAGGAAGTTTGTCACTGTGGAGGCCAGCTTTGAGGTCATATATATGTTCAAACTCTGCCCGGTGTGGAACCCACTCTCCTCCTGGCTGCCTTTGGATCAAGCTGTAGAACTCTTGGCTCCTCGCCACCAAGTCCGCCTGCATGATGCCATATTTCCCACCATGATGATAATGGATTGAATCCCTGAAACTGTAAGCCAGCCCCAGTTAAATATTTGCCTTTATAAGAGTTGTCTTGGTCATGGTGTCTCTTCACAGCAATAAAATCCTAACTAATACACCATCCAAGGTTGTGCTTCTCATTTAACAGATGAAGCTGAGGTGCTCTTCTGTCCATTCCCTCAACCCTTTTGCAGTTTTGTGTCCCCATTTTCTGACTTTTGGTCTCAGAGTCACTTTGATGCTATCCTCTGTGTTCTTGATCCATCTCAAAGACCAATTCTTTTTTTTTTATTAGTTATATTTTTTAAACTCTGTATCCCAACTGTAGCCTGCTCCCTCATTCCTTCCCAATCCTACCCTCCCTCCCTCATCTCCTCCCTGCCCCTTTCCAAGTCCACTGATTGGGGAGGACCTCCTCCCCTTTCATCTGACCCTGTTTTATCAGGTATCTTCAGGACTGGCTGCAAAGTCCTCCTCTGTGGCCTAGCAGGACTGCTCCTCCCTTGGGGGGTGGGGAGCTCAAAGAGCCAGTCATTGAGTTCCTGTCAGAAATAGTCCATGTTCCCCTGACTAGGGTAAAACCAATTGGTTACTGAGCTACCACTGGCTACATCTGAGCAGAGGTTCTAGGTTATATCCATACATGGTCCTTGGTGGAGCGTCAGTCTCAGAAAAGACCCCTGTGCCCAGATATATTTGGCCCTCATGGAGCTCCTATCCTCTCCACGTCATACTAACTCCCCCTTTTTTCATATGATTCCCTGCACTCTGCTGATGGTTTGGTTATGAGTCTTAGTATCTGCTTTGATACACTTCTAGGTAGAGTCTTTCAGAGGCCCTCTGCGGTAGGCTCCTGTCCTTTTACTTGTTTTCTCCTATGTCAAAGACAAATTCTTAACCTATTTATAAGTACAGTCAAATTTCTTTTCTTAAAGAACAGTAACAACAATATTCCCAGAAAGAAAAATATATATTTATTTCCTTAGTCTGCATTTTTCATCTAATGTAATCTAGATTTTGCCACCTACTGCCTTCTTCCTTAATGCTGTGCTCCAAAGCCTCCCATCATTTCTAGAATCCTTCCTCCTCGCCTTCTTCATTTCTCTGCTCTTTAGGTCCTTTCTTTTACCTGACTTTAAACTTTCATGTGGCCCAGGGCGGCCTCTGATCTCTGTTCTCCCACCTCGTCCCTTTACTGTCACTCTCTTACTTCCTCTGTACTTTCACTTTCCAGGGGGCCCTCCCCAGCTCCACATCTGAATACCCAGGTTCTGGCTGGTACTTCCTACAGGGTTGGAGTTCCCAGAGAACATCACACCCAAAAGTACCTTGAGCCCACTGTCCACCTCTGCCTCATCCCAGTCAGCATCCCTTCACAGATGTACTCTGTAAAACTGGTGTGAGTCCCGAGCTTCTTTTATTCCCGGAAGTGCTCATATCTATGGGCCTGACCCATGCAGCCTCTACTGTCTCCAGTTCAGAGCCTTGCAGGGGTCTCCTGTCTAATTCTCTACCTTTGGTCATCTTGACTCTTTCCAGATCTCAGAGACATCTTTATAAAAACCAGAAGTTTATGCTATGCATCCTGCCCCCAACCCTTTAAGGGATCCATTTGCCTACAAGGCAGAGTTCAGGCTCCAGAGTGAGAATCCTGAAGCCTCCAATGCCTTCACCTGCCCTGCTGTGTCCTTTCCTACCTCTTGCCATTCAGTCCTTGGGGTTCTGGGAACGCCCTGAGCTCTTTCACACCACGGTGCATCTGCTCTTAGACTGCCCTCTGCTTAGAAGAGCCTCACCCTCCCTCTGACCAGCTGGTGCCACTTGGCTTTCTTCTTGTGGTGCTGGTGATAGAACCCTGGTTGTGTACACGCTAGGCAAGCACCCTACCACTGGGTTTTGTTTCCAGCCCACCAACTCTGCCTCTCTGTGCACATGTGAGTCAGTGTATAGGCCCAAGTGTGTACATATGGAGGCTAGGGTTCTAGCAGTGTGTCTCTTGGTTTTGAGACTGAGCCTCTGGCTAAATCTGGAGCTCACTATTTAGACTAGACTGGCTGGCCAGCAAGCCCCAGGGCATGCTTGTCTTCACCCTGTCCCAGCTGGGGTTCAGAACCTTGTTGCCACTCTCACTGTCTTTCCCGCTATGGGTTCTGGGGATCTAAACTCATGTATTCACATAGCACTTTGCCCACTGAGCCACCTCCCCAGTTCCCTGTTGTTTTAAGACAAGGCCTCACTATAAAGCATAAGATGGTCTTGAACTCAGGATGCTTCTGTTTCACCTTCCCTAGAGCTGGGATTACAGGTGTGTGTCGACACACTATGTAACTTTTGAGTTCAATTCAGTTTAGGCAAAGCTTCCTTCTGATTATCTCCCTTGGTTCAGAGTTAAATGGACTTGGCTCTTTTTTTTTTTTTTTTCTTCAGAATATATGGCTCTTTTGACAGGAACCCAGGAAAGGTGGGAAGATGTTGCTATGATGCTCTGTGCTCCTTCAATGTGACTCTCGAGGCCAGTGACCCTTACTTTCATTGCAGTGTGCCAGGAGCCTCATTCAGTGCCTGGCACTTGGCAGGAACTCTGTAAGTCTCCCCTATTGGTGCTGATGGGAAGAAAACATTTTTAAAAAATTAACTAAAAAGAGTGTAAAAGTTAATTTATTCTATGTGTATGGGTGTTTGGTTTGCATGTAAGGCACTGCATGCATGTCTGCTAATCCATGGAGGCCAGAAGAGTGCATTGAATTCCTTGGAACAGATTGGGCATCAAAGAACAGCTAGTGTTCTTTGCTGAGTCATCTCTGACCCATGGACAATTTTGATTCCAATTACAGAAGGTTTTTGGGCTGATTATGGGGTGGTACAAATGCCTTCTCCCTCATCTGCCACCTGATTCCTGAGGACTCTTTTCTGTTGTGTGGTGGTCCTGGGGAGGCTAAGTCACCATGGTCGACTCAACTGAAGGTGTGGTCATTGCTCCTGGGATGACTCTTCTTCCAGCTGCAGCTGAAGAAAAACACCTGCAAGGAAAGGGTGGGCTGAGTGCTGAGAGCCAGGACCATGAGAACAGCAGCTGCTGAGGGCATGGAATGTTTGCTTCAGATTGCAACCACCTGAAACTGTCCTGTGGCGCAGGTTGGGTAATCCTCACTTAGGAAAACATTCTAGTTTTGTTCTCTTTCTCTTTGTCCATGTCTCTAGCAAGTACCCAACCCTACTCCTGAAGGTGCTGGACCCCAGCTTGGGACTAGGTCATTAGCTCATCTTCCCTCCCATTTGCTGTGGGTTTGGTTGTGACAGGCCCAGGCTGAGGTTGAGGATTTCTTTACCAGAGGATTTGGCATAGACTGTCTGCTTGTCTCTGCTCTGGGCGATGCAGGACATGTAAAGCTTCTGGTCCTCAATCTTTTCTACTTGAATGTCCAGGACAGCCAGAGAGCCCACGGGGATCAAGCTGGAAGAGGAGAGAATCGAGTTCATTTCCCCTCCTGCTCCCACATTGGCCTCCCTCCTCTTTTCACCTCAACTCTGCCTCCAGGACTCATGGGCAGCCCTAGGTTCAGGACTGTTGGCGCCAGGTGCTGAACGGCAGAGGTTGCATCCTGGCCTGGGTCTAGAGATATGCTTGGCTGGGAAAGGAGGAAGATAGGCAGGATCTGCACACTCAACTTGCAGAGCTTACATAACCCCATGTTAAAACAGAACCCAGACATCTGGACTTGCTTTGTAGACCAGGCTGGCCTTGAACTCATATGGATCCACCTGCCTTTGCCTCCCTGGGTTCTGGGATTACAGGCATGTGCCACCACGCCTGGCTCCACACTTACTTTTTGAACCTGATGTTAAGACTTAGTGTGAATAATCCTTCTCCAGCCAGATAGGCGGTTTTAGAAAATGTCTCATCCATCATGGCTACCAGTGACCCTCCATGGGCAAACCTGGGGATCAGGATGGGTAAAACTAGGGTTAGGGCTTCACTGGACTTCCTCTCCATCCTGTACCAAATCCCCCTAGCTTTTCTCTTTCCCCAGAGTCTTCCAAAGATAGGTCTTCTATCCTAGGGAGCCAAATAGGAACAGACACAGAGATACATCCTGTGGGCCTCAGAAGGTCACAAGAAACTGAACTTCTCTCTTTTCACTCCAGCATGTATCAACCACTGATACAACTATTTTATTTCACCAAGAGAATTTTTTTTTCCTCACAAAATTAATAGAGAATATTTTTCTGAACTGTCACCTAATTGCTGGCTGCAGCTGCCACATTTTAGAAGGTTGCATACATTCAAAGCAGTGGAAAAGCCTGAACTTTTTAACTTAGTCTTTCGTTGTTTTGCTTTTTGAGAAATAATCTCACTGCGAAGTCCAGGCTAGCCTTGAACTCATGGCAATCCTGCTTCACCTCTTGAGTTCTGGGACTCAAGAGGTGTGAGGCAGCATGTTTACTTTGATTTAGTCTTTGAAACATGAGCTTGGGCTGTCTCTCACCACATCAGTCACTCAGCCAATGCTGGACCTACGGTTTCAAGGCAGGTTAATTATGACTTATCAAAGGGCCAGCAAGGTAGGCACCTGAGCAATACTGCCCGGAAGACGTAAGAGCCCACTTCAGTGTGATGCCACATGCACTCACTTTACTTCGAGTATATAGAACACTCATTATCACTTATGTAAACTGACCTCCATGACAAGCCTTTGTCACCATTGGTTAGGCTAGGAGAAAATATTGAGGCATCCTAAGATAATACGTAAACAGTACAAAACAGATCTGGGTATTGAAAGTACGTACAATTCGTCATAGACCCAGGCCAGATATTTTTCTGACCCGTCAAGGCTGCAGTGGGGTTCCCAGGCCCTCTCCTCCTGGGAGAGGTAGCACACCACCTGGCTGGACCCCTACTTATACCATTCATTACCTATGTGTTTTTGAACAACCTGCTGAACCACTATAAACCTTCATTTTCTCAGCAGGCATTGTGAATAAAAAGAATCACTATCTCATTGATTAAGTTCACCCCAAATCTCACCCACACTTCTGGGCACCTGCCTTCATCGCTGTGAAGAGAAAATGAACTGGTGCCAAAGAACTCCAAACCTGCCCTTGCCTTGTGTTCCCTGGCCAGACAAAGGATATGTTTGCAAAATGGTGATTCTGTAGAGCAGTTCCTAGCCAATGGGCAATTCCCCCTACACCCAGTGCCTGAGACCTAGCGGATATTAAGCTCTTCTCTGTACTCTGTCTGGCTGCTGACTGGACTCAGTGTCAGATCATTGCTCTCTCTCTATTTTTTTAATAGCTCCCCATACCTCTGAATGAAACTCATGCACGAATCTCTACCCTGTCTCCCTGAGGATATCTTTTTCACACGGGAAGGGATCCTTGGCCTCTCAGGACTCTTCTTTCTGGAACATTCTGAGGCTTCAATAAGGGGGTTCTTCATATATGCATAGCGGAGCCTGGACATGCTAACCCAGATTGTCCTTCCAGACCCAACACTGAAAAGTTGAAACCCAGTTTCTTATATCCCATTTTAGGTCTTTAGAGACTCCAAGGTCTGGTGGATTCTGGACCCACCCTGCTGAGCCAAGCCTGGGAAACATCCACGCTGGCCTGTCTGAGGCCTTACCCTGGTGGCCCCTCCAGGTAGGGGCCTGGCTGGAAAAGACAGACTGACTTCTTCTCAAATGGGTGGAAAAAGATGACATATTCAAAGCCTTGTCCTTCCAGTTGGATGCATCGGGTGAAGATGCGCCAGTCCTGTTTGTCTGGTGGAGAGATGACAGTTTGAAGCAAAGATACTTCAGGGCATAGGGATCTGTCAGGACAAGCAAAAGAGAAGAGAGAGAAACAGAAGACACCCAGACTTTGTTGTTAGGGAGGCCTTCCATTGGGGGGGGGGCAGTGCAAAACATGGTTCTTGTCTTCAGAGAGCCTGTATCTTGGGGAAACAAACAGTCATGGCTCCCCAGCTGGGGTTGAAGGCAAGATTGGGAGTAGGCAAGTATTCTACCAACTGAGGCTGAGCCATTTCCTCAGCCTGAAAATAAGGTGGTTTTTTTTTTTTTTTTTTTTTTTTTTTTTGGTGGTTTTTCAAGACAGATTTCTCTGGGTAGCCCTGGATGTCTTGGAACTGTCATTCTTGTAGACCAGGCTGGCCAGAGATCCACCTGTTTCTGCTTCCCAATAGCTGGAATTAATGGTATGTACTAGCATGCATGCCTTGATGCCTCTGCTTGGTCTGTACCATGAGTTCAAAGGTCACCTACTAGCTATATCACTCATTCATCACTGAGCAGCAACCATGTGTGTGAGTGAAAAAAAAAAAGACACAGACAGGCAGAGGGGCAGATGGATGGACGGACGGACACACACACACACACACACACACACACACACACACACACACACGGCGGGAGGTGGGGTGAAGGTGGCAGCTCTGTCAATCAGATCTTCTGTGTGTCTTATAATGCCTTCTTGCATGCTGAAGCCTGCAGTGGAAAAGGGAGGCTGGGAAGGAAGGTTTGGGACAGAGCCTAGCTGAGGGGAGAGCCGCTGGTGAGGTGCCAGAAAAGGCAGCCCCGCAGCCTCCCCCTGGCAGCTCTCCAGCCAGACTTCAGCTGGGAGCAACCTGGGTGTGCCCCCTTCAGAGGGAGGTGAAGGAGGCAGCAGAGAGAGCAGTGCAGATGCACGCTTCTGTCCACAGCTGGTCTGCAGTAGAGGGAGGGGGCAGCAGGAGGAGCCTCCCGGCTGAGAACTGGAGGGGGCCAGTGATTTTTCTTTCTGAATGTCTTGATTATTTTTTTTGTAATAATTATTGGGGAATTTCATACATGTATTTTGATCATATTCACCCTCTCCCCCTTGGAGAAAAATTCTTACTGTGTTTTCCTAGGTGGCTTTGCAGACCATATTCGCCTGCGTCTGCCTTCTGGGTGCTGGAATTTGTGTGCCAGCATGGCTAGCCTTCCTGAATGTTTTCAAACCAGAGAAAGGCAGCAGGCTGAACTGACGGAGGGTTTCAGGCAGGGACCCCCTCTGTGTGTGTGTCTGTATGTGGGGGGAGGTGGGGAGGTGTGTGTAGAGGGGAGTGTGTGTGTGTGTGTGAGGTGTGTGTGTGTGTGTGTGTGTGTGTGTGTGTGTGTGTATGGATGTGTATACATGTACACTCCTGTACTCTTTCAGACCTGGTCTTACCTGAGGCAGCTACCAGCCCCGACGGGAGCTTAAGCCCTTGGATATGCTCTCTGTTGGATTTGAAGGAGGGTAGTTTAATCCAGCTGCCTGACTTGGATTTCTCCAGAAATTCTTGGTAGAGGCTCAGCATATCTGGACACCAGGTGGCATTGGGAAGGGCATAATCCTTCAAATCTGACTTCTTTGGGCAGAATCTTGCAACCTAGGCAGGAAGAGTAGGGTGACGTCTTGGAAGGTAGAATATATTCTTGGGCTGTGAGACCATGATTTGGTCTGTTTCTGGGTTTAGGGTTTTTCAGTTTTGTCTGCTTGAGTGTTAGCCCCGAGGGAAAGTGCCCATTTTCCTTGTGGGGGCATGGGGATGTCTGTGAATGAGAGGCCTGGGGGTGTTAAAGAACAATGAAGTGGGTTTGTTTGGGATGGAGCTGGGGGTTAGCCATTGCAGCCGAGCTGTGCAGAGGTGCAGCATTGTCACTGAGAGGCTCCTTGAAATGGAGAGCTGGTACCAGTCCCAGTGAAAAGGTGGGGAAACTGGGGAACTATGATTTAAGGTTGTCACACTTGGGAGAGAGAGATGGTTAGGCCTGACACTGTTTTCCTGAGGGGCATGCCCACAGCTGGTGAGAAATATTTATTAGACCCTCACTACAGGGGCTAGTCAACTTATGAGCCTGCCTGGCAGCTCCTTTGACATGCTTTCCGGTTCCAAGGAAGTATAATATCATGGCCAAGTCAGGGACAATGTATTTATCTGCCAGATGTCATGTATTAGTCACTTCTGTGGGTAATAAGCAAGCCGATTGCCAAACCCACAGATAGGGCCTCTGTCTGGGAATATTCCACTTAGCTGTTTCAGTGTGAACTCTATGAGAATTGCCAATGGCCACATAGGATTTGGACCAGTATTTGTCCTATTACATTTGGTTTGGGATATGGCTTATGTAGTAAGTACCCCAAAGGATTTTCCTTTTGCCAAACCAAACAGCTCCTTATCATCCCGGATATGAGGCAGAAAAAAAAAATGATTTAGGATGCTCAAGCCCTTAGAGAGGAAGGGAGCTCATCCCACTGCCTGGGAACTTACCAGGGAATCTGTTGAGGATCCAAATGCTGAGGCCTGTTGGAGTCCCGGCAGGATTTGAAGGTTTCTGGGGAGAGCTTTGTTGTGAACAAGTCTTGCCACCCGCTGGAAGCCTGTCTTCATCATGGTTGAGTGCCAGGATCTGGGCTTTGCTTGGATAAAAGTGCCTGACTCCGGAGGAGGACGAGTGAGCACCAGGCAGCCTCACTTGGACTGTGATTAAATCACCTCCCACCAGGCGCTCTTAACAAAAGGTTTCTTGTAGCAGGGAGCTCCCCTGAAGGTGGGATGACTGTGCAAGACTGGGTTGGGCTGCTACAACACCTATAGGTGCTCCGGGCCTTCGGCTGGTCCCAGGGCCCTGCCCAGTGTTGGGGGAAGGGTAGATGCTGCTTGAGAATGAATGGGTAGGAGAATCGGCCCATGCACAGACAAGTAGTGTGGGGAACCCAGAGTCCCAGAGAGCCATCCTAGGTTTCTGGGACAGGAGTCAAGAAAATATCCAGAGAGATCTCCTTAGAGTCAAGATCAGATTTCTGCACAAGCCACATGCTCTGCCCCAGCCCTTTCCCTACCTCCAGATGCTGACAGGTATCTGACTGAGAGCACTGTCTGTGACTCGCTAGCTCATAGACTCCCAGGTGCCCAGATTTCTCACCTGGGGAAATCTGCAGGCTCCAGCACATCAAAAGGCTGTGGATGCCCACAAATCCTGCTCCTCATCCCCCTTCCCTGATGCCTGCTGGGAAATCAGAGACCCTGACTGCTGTCTCATGTTGTGAACACCTCTTCTTCCTTCAGAGACCTAAGGAGGGATCCCCACTTCTGCCTTCTGAGCAGAGTCCTCAGAGCTCCTACCATTCTGTTTCTGTCAGTCTGTCCATGGCAAATAACACTTCAAAAAAACTCCATGCTCTCAACAGTCTGTCTCACTGTTCCTCTTGAATCCCGCCTCTGAGAACTTGCACCCATCTCCCTCAGTAGAAGAATGTTGATGAAGCATTTTTGGCATGGGCTCTGCAGCATAATTTTGAAAGTTCTGATATGATCACAGCCTTAGACACCTTCCTCTTATGTGCTGGGTAAGAGTTTACACAGGGAGGCGTCTTCTTGCTGGTTCTTGGCTAGTGATAGGAGTTGGTGTGGGGTGGGAGTGCAGAAGATGGCTGAGAGATGCCTAGCAAGGGACCCTGTGTACCTCTCCAGGGAGAGGATGAAAGCAGCAGAGTACAGAGATTGAGGTGCTAGATGCATGTGTTACAGGAAACCCACCAGAGATGACCACACAGATACAATTTATAGCCAATTGAAAGTCTTTATTCCAGCTGGTTGGTACTGCCCTAAGGTATTTGGAGACCCAAGTGTTGCCTTGAGCATTTATACCAAGGAGCTTTTTAAAAGCAAAAACCACCTCCTGGTATCTCTCTCAGTGCCTGCAGGGGGAGGTTTGCACAAGCAAGAAGTTTAACAGAATGCAAGGTTATGCATTGTATTTTTGTTGTTGTTATTTCTTTTCCTCTCCCTTCTTTCCTTCCCCTCTTTCTTTTATTAAGACAGGATCTTGCTATATACTGCAGGTTTGAACTCATGATCCTCTTTTTACAGCTTCCCAAGAGCTAGGATTACAGGTGTGTACTATTAGACCCAGAAAAACTTCCAGCTTTCAACAAAAAGTTCTGGTTTTAAACTTCTTAAAATAAAAAAGGTTCTAGAAACCAAAACAGCTGGGCATGGGAAGGAGGGGCAGGCAGAACTCTGTGTGTTTGAGGCCAGCCTGTTTTACAGCATGAGTCCAGGACAGCCAGGACTACATAGAGAAACCCTGTCTTAAAAGCCCAGGGAGGGGGGGGGACCAGAACAGTACAAACATAGGTTAATGGCGGGCGATGATATTTTGGCTGGTCCTGAAAGATCAAAGTGATTTTTTATGTATTGTAAAGGTTTGTCTCATTACCAACCAGGGCCATTTTCTCAGCCACACAAAATACCAACAATGGAGAAAATAGGTTTCAGGAAAGAGTTTACTTGAATGGATCCCACAGGATTTAATGCTTGCCATGTTGGATTTGGTCAAGTCTGCTGTGTAGAATTTGCCAATTAGCATGGTGCAAAAACTCCCTCCACAGCTGATTTTAAGTCATTGGCTTGACTGCACATCTGGACAGCAGGGTGCACAGTCAGTTTTGGTGAGTTGTGGGAACCGGCTGGTGAAGGTGACACCACTGCATTGATCAAGGTCTCACAGCAGGTTCAGCAGATTAACCTTTGCCCAAGATCTGAACTCACTTCTACTTTAGTATGTTTTGGATCCTTGTCTCTTCAAGGATCATTAATGGTTAGGACTTAGTCTCCTCAGCCTATCCATTTAAAAATTTTGTTATTTTTATTTATGTCCATGTATTTTCGAGGCTGTCCTATTTACTGGAACTGGACTTATAGACAGTTGTGAGCTGGCATGTGGGTGCTGGAAATTGAACCCTGGTCCATTTGAAAGAGCGGCTAGTGCTCTTAACCACTGAGCCATCTCTCTAGCCCCACAGCCTCTCAAAAAAAAAAATGCATAGGGCATTTTGTTGTCCCTCAAAAAAATGCATAGGGTATTTAATAACCAAGAATAAACAAAAAAAATTATCAACATTTCTAGAAACCTAGCCAAGTCTACTTCATCTTGGGTGGCTAAGGAAGCCCCCCTCAAGTAAATCTGAACCCAGGACAGTGTTCCCCTGATGTGGGCTGGCTCTGTGATGTGGGATTCCCAGCACTTTGGAGAGATTCTGTCTGGGATGACCCCCTACCTAGTCTTTCTGGATAAGGAATAAACTTTTCAGAATCCATTGCTAGGCAAGGGCTGTACCCTCTAGAACTGGGTTTGATCAGGTCTGATTCTGAAGCCCTGACTCTTTTTTTTTGGATGCTTTACTGATGTCTTGTAAAACAGCTTTGTTTTGTAAATTTATATTCTCCCTATAAAACAGCTAAGTTAGGAATTTTGTATCCTTTCTGCACCCAGCAAAATCCTTACCACACGTTTCTTCTGGTAGAGTTGTTTTTGTCACTGACTTAAAACACACCTCATTGTAGTCAGTGTTATTAGTGAGCTGTGACATTTTCATGTTTAAATAGGATATTGTTGTTGTTGTTTTAATATGAAGAACTAGATATAAGACTCCAGGTTTTGTGCCATTCAGTCACCTGGACCCTTAAGCTTAACTATGGTACCTAATCTACACAGAACTAACAGGCATTCTCTTAGTTAATTTAAGATTTAAATTAGGATTATTTATTATGTTTCTTCCTTCCCTGCTGAATCCCAGTCTTCAGGTAAAGTTGAACTAAGTAGTTTAAAACATGTTAGGAATAAGCACACTTTGAAAGATGTTTTCTAGCCCTGAATTTTAGGACACTGGACACTAAATTTGGAATACACTAACTATTGAGAACAAAATTTGGAGCTTAAGAAAGGGATTATTGGGGCCTTTATGATATAGGAGAATCACATCTTAAACACTGTAAACAGAATACTTTCTTCTGCCTGCTGGGTGTGAAAATTCTCTGGGAAGATCTTTTACAAAGACCATTTTTTAAAACGTAATTTACCTACTTAATATAAGTGTCCTTAAACACATAGGTAAACCTCCAAAACCTGTTTGTCTATGTATTTAGAAAATACACAAGAATCTTTATCAGACTTAAAATATAAACTAAACAAAAACTAAAATCATCCCAGCCTGGATACAAGTCCTGAGTTCATAACTCCTGAATGTGTGTTCCTGGAGTCTTATGAGGCGTCTTATAAGCTTATAAGACGGCTTATTTTCCTCTCAACCTATGGCTAACTTCCATGCTTGTGCCAAGACGGGTCCACTCTTACCTGAACTATGGATCTGAGGCCAGCTGCCCTGTAGTAGTTGAGCTTTATAAAGCTGGTGGGCTCCCATGGGTACTGTAAAGGGACCACAATGGCCCAGTTCCCCTCAGGAGATATAACGACATATTGTAGACCCAGATATCAAGTCTGTGAATTTGTAAAGAACACTTGACCAGAGCCTTTGTCCTTGTCTCAGGGTCTGTTTGCTTGCCCACATCAAGATAAAATGTGAAAAATAGACTCATTTCTGGTTTTGGCCGAAATTGAAGTCTTTAACCTTCCCCATGGTACTATCAGAATTTATAGAAAGGATTCAGTAGTTCTTAGGGAATATCCTCTGTAGACTGAGCTGTGTATCTCAGTGAGTTGAGCAGGGAGGTAAGTTACTATTCCACTTTTTGTTTTTTGTTTTTCTAGTTGCATCCTTCTGGCACTGTGGGTTAGGTAGTATCTTTTCTAAATCTGTGAAACACTCAGAGGTTAGCACAATGTCATCTATGTGACAAAATGTTTGGTGATGGTGGGTCTGAAGACACATCACTGACCATTCCAAGAATGTGTCAACATGAATTCAGCAGCTATAGGATACCACAACAAAACAGAACACCAGCATGGTCGAGGACATCAGGAGCAGCTCCATTTGTTTAAATGGATCATTTCCTCCAGCGAGCTGTGCAGAGCTTGACAAGGTGAGCAGGAGGCACAACCTTTATCTATCTGTAACAGTTTACTGTCATCCTCCAGGAGACACCACCTTCCTCACTCAGGAGCAGTTCGGGAGGTCAGCTGTGCACCTTTCTGTTTCAAGGTCTTGCAGCTTGCACTGCCTACCTAGCTAGAGGCTGAGGAGGGGCTGAGGAGAAGGAAGACTGCTCCTACCTGCTCCTGCCCACCACACCCACTGTACGTGCCACACCTGTGCCAGCTCTGAATCCCTCACAAAACCACCACTTAGTCTGTAAAAAGAGACTATACTATATTATTATAAATAAGACGATCCATTTTAAAAATTAATTTTAAACTTTTCTCAATTTTAAACCTTGTAAATTGCAGCCTTTGAGCATTGCAGATCATGTATAGAGCCACTGTGAAGACATCCGGTGCTGTGGTGGTTTGAAGGAGAATGGCTCCTTCATATGTTTGCATGGTCGGTCCCCAGTTAGTAGAAAACTGCTTGGGATGTATTGGAAAGTCTGGCCTTGTTGGAGGACTGTGTCACTGGGGGTGGGTTTGAGGTTCCAAAAGCCCAGGTCAGATG